TTCTTCATTTAGTGTCAGGGTATTCCTTTAGTTTAATGGACTTATAGATGATCAGTAAAATCTATATAAATCCAGCGAGCTTTGTTGATCTTGAGGGAATTAATGAAATTGTAAAAAAGTTCAGGAAAGTTTGTAGAAGTGCACATAACTTCATATGAATTCTGAGAACTTAATACAAGTCATGCGAATTACGTAGCAATGTGAGGAAAACCGTAAAACATAATGGAAGTGCTTGAATGTCAAGCTGAACATTGCATTAGGTCCTATGTAACAATGACAGATTATCTACGTCGATTTTCTCTTTGTATCACCACGGCAATGTAAAAACATTCCCAGCTATTTTCAGCACACAGATCGATAAAATAGGCATTTATCAAGCATCTAATATGAATAACACATCAAGAAACGGTTCTGTTCTCAAGTTATTAACGAAAGTGAAAGTCGACGAAGAGAATTGATCAATGTTAATTACAACCTAATGCATTGTTCAGCTTGATTTATTTCAAAAGTTCAGGGAAGTTCGTAATAGTTCAGGGAATTTTGTAGAAGCTCAGTTAGTATTATATAAGTTCAGCATACAGGGTTTGATTTGGGAACTTAGTGGATGTTTTAGGAACTTTGTTTCACTCAGATGATTTTGAAAAATTTGTAGAAAATTTTTAATAACTTTCCTGAAGTTTTGGAGAAAATCATGGATGTTGATGGAACTTCGCAGAAGATGATTTAATTTTAAATAAGTAAAGATAAGGGAACTTTGTAGATGTTCAAGGAACATCCCAAGTAACCAAAAGTTCCGCATTCAACGATTAAAATCACTTTCCATTAAGTTCCATTAAGTTCAAATAAAGTTCCGACAGAACTTTCAAGTTCCATAAAGTTCAAATAAAGTTCCGACAGAACTTTCAAGCCACATGAAGCAATCCGCACAAGTCTTTATTAGTAACAAAATTTAATGTACGTAAATATGTAATAAACAGTGGCCCGAATAAATCATAATTCTTATATATATGCAGTGCATCAACATTGTATCCAAAAATAAAAAAATAAGTTAATAAGTAATTTCCTGGATTCGAACCCGTGTATTCGGCATGCGATCTACGAACGCTAACCACTGCGCTACAAATGTAATGGAATACCATGCGGGCAAACACCAATTTAAAATTCATCAATGTGTTGTGTTTCGTATTCAAGTCAGTCAGCTGGCACTGAAAACTCCAACAGCTTTATTATATCTCAGATGACGCAGCGGTTCGTACTGGGGCTCTCATGCAGAAGGACTGGGGTTAAAGCTCTAATTCTACTACTTATGCTGATAAATCAATACACATTAATACCTACTTTGCCTCTTACAACGACATAAAAATGAGGCTGCTTACCCAGACAACCAGAAGTCGTATAACAATGTACAGACAGTATTGTAAATTGCTACAGTTTAAGTCAAAATCGCATATAAGAATGGCATTCCTCGTATTATGTTTAAGTTAAATCGTATAGAATACAAATTTCCGACCTATATGCGATGACTCATTTTTCCGTCGTACTGTATCACAAATTAAATCGGATTACATCGTAAGACTTTTCAAAATGAATTTGTTATTACAGATTAAAACGTATATGATGTTAAATCAACTCGTTTAAAATTAAATGAAAATATGCACATATATGGCCTCCACTTTTGTACGTATAAGCCATTTCTTTGCATTCTATACGAATTGTTTGTTTGTATATGTGTTTGTATATCACGAAAACAACTTTGAATATACGTGCAATCTGGTTGTCTGGGTAGAATTCTATAGACAGACCACCTTCAACCAAGCTGCTTAAGCCACAAATTTCCTTTTATCAGAACTTTTGGTTACTTGGAATTAGAGCTATTTTTACGCCACTCAGAACGAAATGCCATCTTTGTCACCTACATTTTCCTGAGTCTTCTGAAAATTTATGTGAATTTACTTGGACAAACAATTGAAGTTTCCTTAAAACTTCTATAAATTCAATAATTTTCTAAAATTCCATGAACCAGTTGATATTTCACAGTTTATTTTAAAAACTTTCTCAAAACCAAGGTTGCAAAGACTCATTTCAGCTAAAATAATGTTTTTCGGAATAATAAAACCAAAAGATGGTATCATGGCATGTTTTACTTGTAACTTACAAGAAGAGGTTACAAAGTATGCGTTGGAAACATAAAACCTGTAAATTTTGCTTTCTATGAGTCACAATCAGCGATTTGCTGATCGCTGAGTGAGTGAGTGAGTTTGTCAAAAATCACTGACTGTGACTCTCATGATGTGAAATAAACAGATTTAATATGTCAAACACATTCTTTGCAACCTCTTCTTGTATCCTTAAAATTCAAAATTTGATCATGGCATCTAATTATTTCATAATTTAGAAAAACATTGTTTTAGCTGAAATGAGTCTTTGCAACCTTGCTCAAAACTCCTCTGTTACCTCAAACAAATAACAGATTTTTAATCAACTTCCCCGAAGATCTCTCCCCTTACAATCCTTTAAAGAGTCTCTGGAATTCCTATTTTTTGTAAACTGGTCTAAGATTCCCTGTTCTCATGAATTCTCTATAAATGTCTCAGAAGTGCACGGAAAATTCATCTCAAGATTCCTGAAAACTCTCATAAAATTCCATGAAATGTCATCTAAAGGTCACCAAAACCTTCTCGTTTTTCCCATATTATGTAATAAGCAGTTCCACGCCAACTGGTGATTTTATTTTCCCCTCTCAGAACTCCATGAAACTTAACATAGTTCTTAACTAGGGGTAGTGAACTATGTTTTTGCCAAAGTTCGGCCATTTTGACTCACGCCTAATATTTCAGAACCAGAATGACCCTCGAATTGCACCAGCTGTTGGGAGAAACATCCATCGTCTACATTACAAAAATTGGGCGACTACGGTGGGCTGGGCACATCGTAAGAATGCCGCATGACGACCCAGTGAAAATGGTTCTAGAAAGCAACCCAACAGGAACAAGAAGAAGAGGCACGCAGCGGGCAAGGTGGATCGATCAAGCAGAAGGCATCCTGCGGACCCTTCGCAGACTACGAGGCTGGCGAACTGTGGCCATGGATCGAGTAGAGTGGAGACAACTTCTTCGGATAGCAGAGGACAACAAGGCCTTAGCCTGATTGGTAAGGTAAGTACTAATATTTCAGAATGGCGTATTTGATATTTTTCAATGAATCATAGAACAAATCACGTCTGAGATATAGTTGTAGGAAACTAGATTTTTCAGAAGAAAAAAACGTTGAAAAAAAGCTTAAATTTTCGTCAAAAACTAAAAAAAAAACACAGTTAAAAGTTCAAAATTTTACTTAAAATATTATGTTCTACGGTTTAAGCCTTTTGTAAAGAGTCCATTATGTCCATTTCAGAAAAGTTAGCATTTTTGATAATTGAAAGCTTGAAACTTAAATAACTTAAAAATGTGCTTTTTTGTATTTAAAGTATTTAGTTCTGGTACAAATTTGGTTCATTGCCCCTAGTCAACAATTATGCGAAGTTTCATGAAATTCTGTGAGGTAAAATCTGAAATTTGTATTTTTTTTTTTCGCTATTGTGCCTGGAACTGCTCCAATGCAAGAGGGGGTGGAGTCAACGCGTTACTCGTCTTGTATTAGGTATAAGTAAATTGCGTGACCTTTTCTGCGTAACGTAATATTTGAACGATCCCTTTCATGCCATCAAAAATGTGTCTTTTTAAAACATAAGCTAAAAATGCTGCTTCCCTGAACTTTTGCTTATCGTCTAAAATTTTGCACTGTGAATTTATGCACAAAGGCGCATAAGAAGCGAAGAAACATCGAAGAATTGCAGCATCCATCGCGCGTGGTCCACACAATGGCAAGCAGTGGACGTCTGGAGATATAGCCATAGGCCATGGTAAGCCTCCCTTATACGTGCGAGTGTGATAAATTCTGCCGACTCGAATTAAGATATACTCTGAGCGATAGAATAGCGGTCTTTAGCGCGTTCGTATAGTTTTCTTCCATATTTTCACTTCCTCCCATATAAATAGCAGCAACAATAACGCAGAAAGGAACAAGACGGAAAGGAGGGGGAGGAGAGAAATCAAAGAAATTGATAGGCATTTGATCGGGATGGCTTTGCATGTTCTCGGTACGGAGAGCCAGTCAGTAGCACCTCTGGTGGGATAGGAAGGAAGGGAGTACAAAAGGGGTGGCAGCTTCGCAAAGTGGATAAAGCTAAATCGATCGGACGGAACGATCGCCCGCCCCGATCCTGAGCCTCCGTGTGTGAGGTTGGTGAGGTCTAAACTAGAGCGTAAATCGATTTTACTGCCTCCCGCAAGCGCACTTTCCTTGAACTTTTTCTGTTTCGATTGGATGCTGTGTGGAAGGCCTGCATTGAGGGATGGAATGAAAAGCGACGGCCACTTTGTGGCCAATTTAATGAGGCCGTTTCATTGTCCAGAGCTGGTAGGAGATAATCATCGGCGAACCAGACTTGGCGTACTTTGTGAATTTTTTTTTTGCGAACTTACTGCGGCTGGTGGAATTCAGCACTTGAACTTCTATTTTATGACTTATTGTTCGGTCGGAGCTGATTAGCTCGAAACTGGTTTACTTGGTTGATGATCTTGATTGTACTTGTTGTTGAGGAAATTTCGATTGATTCAACCGATTCTTGCTCCGATAAAGCTGCTAATGAATAAACAAAAAGCATTGTCAACTAATGGACTGAGATATGCTAATGTTGTTTGATCTTCTCCAACCAAACAGCAAGTGTATCCATTTCGAACCGTCAACAACCACGCATATGTAGACACCATCTCGGCTCGCAGAAGTCAAAAACCTGTTTTTCCCCAAATTTCTTGAACAACAAACGCTCTTTGTTTGTTTGCTTGTGATGCGACCTGATTTGAATGTCAACAGACATTGACCACCGCGAACTGAGAGTGGAAAACCCCGGCGGTACCGGAAATTTCGGATCGCATGCTGATGTACATAGGTACACTTACCTGGAGATGCTGGTCTGCACTCCCTGGAAGTTGCCCTGACCGGCGGCGGCGGGAATTTGCGGGAATGACGGAAACTGGATCGGGAATCCGAAGTTTACTGTTATCAGTTGTTTGCGGAATGCAAGGAAAGAAGAAAGAAATGAAAGAAATTAACTCTTTTGAACTGTTGTATGGAGTGGTGATGCTGGAGTGTGGTACAATTAAAATTGGAGTTTATGTTGTGATGAATAATTATTCGACTGCCGAGGGAACATGTGTGAGAAATTAAGTTATTTAGCGGTGGTGCACAAGATCAAGAAACAATAAGGAACACAAAGTGCATTTAATTGGGTTGTGTCAAATTATCATATTTATTTTTGTAATTATTTCACGTGTGCAAATTTGTAGGGTAATCTTGACACATATCATTCAATTGAGAGTACGATAATTGTTGAATGGGCATTTATGATATCCAGAGCAATTATTTTACTGAAAATTAAATCAGATCAGCATTTCGCATAATTGCATGTTTTGGAGATTTTTAAGATTATAAGATTGACATATTTGTTAATTTACCCCGTGTGAAAAACATTTATTGGCTCATAAAAGTCCTAGCAGGTTTCCGGTTCAAGGGGTGATGATTCAAAATTTATAGAAATTGGTTATCATTGATGTCAGAATTCTCATCCATTGCGTTTTCTCACAGAACAAAAATGGTTGTTCAGCTCCAGAAAGTGAACAATTTTCATAGACGAACACTAGCGCAACTAGCGGTAGAAGAAACGATTTTGTCTGCAGTTAAGATGCTTGATGGTGTGAGTATGGATAGAAAGTCTGTGTGTAACGCGTAGCTTGTTGAGCATCAACATGTTTCACTGTTTGATTAATCGACTCTTTCGCGCTTTCACTGCTATTTTGGGGTTATCTCCAATGCATGTCTTAAAATTAATCACTTGTTATCGCTATTTGTTCGCAATTGTTTGGTCAATGTACATAGTTGTTAAACAAGATGTGGAACAAACGTCATATTTGGAAAAAAAAAGAAAATTGAACGACTAATCTCAAAACAGTCGTTCCAAAATAACGCTGCCCATGGGAATCACATGTAGTTTTCACAAAACTGTTGAGCAAAACTTCATCACAATGCAAGGGTGATTCAAATTATCGGTTTATCTTCACCGAGCTCAATCGATTTCATATCAGGAAATCGATTTCATATCAGCTACATGGCGAACGGCTGGGCACGTGTTGAACGGAAAGGTCACTTTTCTCTTAGTAATTCCCATACAAACTTCCATTGGTTGGTGCATTATGAGATCACAACCAAACGAGCTCAATTTTTTTAAGAAAGCCCCCTAGGGGTAGATATATTATTGTGGACCAGGGGTAAGTCAAGTTCGATAAACCTCGGCGACATGCGCTTGGGGTCAAAGATTTCAATGAGAATCTCAGAGCATTAAGCGTGTCCGGAAATAAATTTTGTACAGGTTTTACAGAAATCTGAACAAGTCTGTTTTCACAACATTTATTTTCCTCAATCGCTGAAAATCTACTATTCATCAATTTTATCTAGATGAACGCGTCATTGTGATGGTACTAATGGATATTTTTGGCGCTATTGAAAATTTTGTCGATTACTGAATTTTTTTTATGGGCCCAAATTAGGGGCATTTAGGCCGACATTACATCCGTTTCTCCCATGTTCCTTTACACTTTTCCAATAATAGATTAAAATTTCACCCTCACGCCCTAACTTTCGGACCTTTGACTTGACTCCTGTCATCAAGGTCTGGACAAGCTTCTCTTCTCTGGTTTTGTAAGCTTTTGTCCACTTCTGCTTGAAGTTTTGAACCGATTTTGACTCTCCTCTCATTTTCCAACAGTCAGCCTTCATTATAGCCTAAAATGTCTCGAGCGGTCGGAGCTCAGTTCGGAGGATTAATCTCATCAGTTACCACAATGACATTATTTTCCTCGTACCTCGTACTACGTCTGTGATTACTATATGGGGTTACACTTTGAGAAAACCGAAAATGACACATGTAACAAAATTATGAAAGATTTTGAACGTTAATAACTCAGCTGCCCCTGGACCAATTTCAATAATTTTATCACCAATCGATCAGATTTATTTCAACGCATCTGTTATATTTAAGACTTTATCATTTTTAAAAATAACACTATTGAAAATAGGACGAATGTGCAACTGTTGCTTTGATAATTAAAATTATCACCGATTGCCTGCCAAAAGCAATTTCAAAACTGAATTCCATCCGGTCTCACCAACCGGTGATTATTCAATCACTGCGTGGTGAGTGGTGGTGTTCTCCAGTACACAACGAAAGGCTCCCCGCAAACAGCTAGCTACCAAGGCTGGCCTCAACCGCTGATCGGATTCAGTTCCAATCACCGTGTGTGGTGGTGTACGGTCGTCGGCATCAGCAGCAGCATCAGCAGCAGTGCTTACGGCGCGTGGCGTTGAACATTGGTCTCCAGTACACAATGAAAGACTACCTGGAAGCAGTGGGCTGCATCTCACATGATCATCCATAGAAGGAGGAAGAAGCCGCACCGCTATTGATCGGAATCAGTAGCTCTTCGTGAGTCGCTGTGGGCCATCTATGCCAAGCGTGTCGCCCTCATTCCAAACAATATACAGCTCACCAACCTCATCTGTGTTTAACACCCTAATAGCTCAGCATTACTCAACCATCACGACATAACGGTCCTTTTCAAGACCACCATAAATTTGTAAAAGAGTATTTTTTTTTGACATTTGTCAAGGTCATCAATCGGGTGTCAGTTCCCATATCAAGATAGAGCTGAAATTAGGGCGATACAGCTTTTGTAAACAATGATGTCTAGAAAGTCAAAGCTCGCCCACGCAAATCAACATCACCATCAGGTAGAGTAAGACTTCCTCTACCCGACGGTAATGATGGTTTGCGTGGGCGTGCCTTGAATCCCTAAAAATCATCGAGAGAAGTTATTGTTTACAAAAGCTGTTGCGCCTAATTCCAGCTCTATCTAGTTATGTTGAAATTTAACATTTTTTTTTTGCTTTATTAGAGAGATTTTCATGAAATTTAACATACCATGAACTTTAAGGCAACATTTGGGGAGCGATTTCAAAAACCAAAGTCGGTCGTGGCATGAAAGTGGTTCGATTTTGATCCGGAGATGATGGATTTTAATTCTTAATACGCCAATCGATAGGAATTTTTCTACCAATCTGTTAAAATTAAGACTTTATCATTTTTCAAAATGTCACTATTGAAAATTGCACAAATGCGCAACTGTTGCTATGATAGTTAAAATTATCACCGATTGCCTGCGAAAAGCAATTTCCCTAACACAGATTTCAAAGTTAAATACCATCCGGTCTCATCAACCGGTCTTTATTCAATCACCGCGTGGTGAGGGGTGGTGTTCTCCAGTACACAACGAAAGGATGCCTGCAAGCAGTGAGCTGCAGCCCACATGAGCATCCATAGAAGGAGGAAGAAGCCGCACCGCTATTGATCGGAATCAGTTTCGTGAGTTGCTGTGGGCCATCTATGTCAAGTGGATCATACTAAAGAGTATAAACAGAGAAAACCCCGCTCAAATTCCTATTCTTACAAAAGCTCCTGCTACAATTAACAAATAAGATTGATTATATAAGACTACGTAGTCCTACGTCACCATTGCGTAAAACCCCATAGGGCTGTCCCTTGTAGTTTTGGTTTGTAGAAACTTGCTGATGACATTCGAAACCGTTTGTGGCGTGACCCCGACCGAATTTACGATTGTTTTGTATGGGATTTTTTAACCACTTATCCAAAATAAGATTTCGCAGCTCCTGTTGTTGAGACGCCATTTCAAAAACTTCTATTTAAAACTAAACAATAGACTTCTCTGACTTTGTGAATTGCACATGTAGTAGTGCAGAACTTTGGGTAAATTCAAAGGTTTTCTTGCACTAGTACTTACAATTTACCCAAAGCACTGCACTAATACTAGTGCATTTCACAAACGTCAGAGAAGTCTATATGGCACGTCGATGCGAAGGTGAAAGGATCCACTGACAGCTACATAATACACTGAAAGAAATTCTTACGTTGACTCAGACCACTGACGCGACAAAGTTACAAAAATATATCCGGACACGCTTTAAGCGAAGACTTCTTTAATATCATTGAAGCTCAAATTCCCATGCGTATAAATTTAATCATAAATCCTCAAAAGCGTTGTATGTAGCACACGATCTTATGTTCCATGTAACAGAGTTAAGATAAGAGCAAGATAATTGTCAACGTAACATAATGTTTGTTTACCTAAGATTTATAATATAGGAAAATCAGCGTCATTAGAAAAAAATCCTAATACCTCGTTCACATTACAGCTTATATCACGTGATATAAGCTGTTTTGCAATGAGCACTCATACATCTAGTTTTCACTGGAAATCCTATGTATGAGCGCTCATTGCAAGACAGCCTATATGACGTGATATAGGCTGTAATGTGAACGAGGTATAAGAAGTTGTTCTTGGGCAGCTGGTGTACATTTATTGGACGGAACGCCTTTACACCAAAAGTAGAATTTAGAGCATTCCTTGGACCAATATTTGAAGACTTTGGGACATTCTATTTTTTTAAGTCTCTGTTAAACACAGTGTGTAGTTTATAATTTTTAAATTTTAATACATTTTTTATGTGATCGTTTTCAGAAAGAAAATTCAAATGCAAAATCATAGTCCCTGTCCCAACGTTGGGCCATCTGTGTATATCTCGTGCTCCCAGAGCTCGTTCCAAATGTAAAACATATACCGTGCACCCTCGTTAATCTGAAAAAAAAACTTCGTCCATATTATCGAGGTTTATTTTCAATTTGAGCTTCTAGTCAGGGTTGCTTCCACTCATGATGTTATAATGATATGTTTTTTTTTTTTTTTTCTTTGGTTTGTTTTTTCGTCGATCTTGTTTTCCGTGCTGAGCACCAATGCTACCGACGTGCCAGGAAGGCAGCTCCCACACCTGGACCCTACCTATCGACCCATCAACTCATGAACCGGGGACCAACGGCTTTACTTCCCATCCGAAGGAAGGCGTGATCAGAGATGTTATGCCTCACCACC